GGGGGGGGGGGGGGGCTGCATGTCTACACATCAAAGCCCACTGAATTTGAAGTGCTTTAGGATTTGCAGTGCTTCAAATGAAGGACTCCCCATGCCCTTATGTACATATTTGTGAATTTAAATGATCTAAAAGACCCAAGGCCCAATGCAGTCAACTAAATACACTAGGATGGTGATGGGCTGACTTAGACTGATACAACATACTGACCCTTTTATTCTACCTTCCCAGCTGGGTGTGTATGAGGTGGGTACAACTGAGTTGAAATAAGACAAATTGCAAGTGACAATCAAATTAAATGTTCCTAATATGGCTTGAAAAACCAACTACCAGCTTACTGCTTAAATAAAAATGGTAACAAGAATGAGTTGGTTTTATATTGTTAAATTTCTTAATTTAATTTTCTTAAACCTAGACATGGTTGATGATGTTCAATGCATTTCCCCCTTAATCATAGAATACATTTTTAGAAAAAAAGCCTTTTATTCCTTGAACAGTTCTATAAAAGGCTGAAATAATATTAAATAAGTAAAATAATATTTCCTTGTCAATCATAAGTTAAAGTACATGCAATGACCCCTTCCTTCTTCATTAATCAGCTGGCACTATTTAGCACAAAACAAAGGTAGGAAGGCTTGTTTTTATTTCTCTGGCCTATTATGTATTCTACAACACTTGACATTTTGGATCCTGGAGATTGTAACTAGCAAATTCAGAATGCGTAGTAGATTCATCAATCAGGCAGAGCTGTCAACAATAAGAAAGCTTTCCCCACCCTTCCTGTGAGAAGAACTTCCTCAGCATATTGAAAGAGGCCAATTAAAGCGAACATCCTCTTCTTTCTACAACCTAATCCCTTCTTTGCTTGAGTGGGATATAAGAAGTGGTGGCTGATTGTTACTTTGTTTGACTGGAATTTGAGGTACTCAAAGTCTAATTGGTGAAACAGACACCCCTCCTGGGATATGAGAGGCAGATCCCTCCTGAGATGTGATAACCTATTAGATTGGCCATATCTTCGTTCACATTATCGAGTCTTCCTGATATTTGCACTGGAGAACCTATCTTACCCATTCATAGTTTCTTTTTGAGTTCCAGAGATGTAACTTTTTGTGAATGGTCTGATGGAACTGCCCAAATTTCACAACAAGTAAATTTAACCATTATGCATCTCCTCAATCATATCTCAGCAAATACTGTTTTTGGCTTTTCTAGCAAGTAAAAAAAAAAGCTAATTGCTTTAGGGGTTAAATGCAAGTAATAAATTGTATGACAATAATGCATAATATTTGCATCAGGATTTCAAAGCTCCCGCCTTCTGATCTATTCTGCTGCAGGAATAGATTATTTTACAGCTCCAAACACAGGAGTGCACACCTAGAGACTCTATTCTGTTTCTAGCTCTGCCTCAGACTTTCAGTGTGACCTTTACATTTAACCTGCTTTTCCTCACCTATCAAATGGAGATGATAATACTTATTTGTCTCACAGTTGGTTACTTTCTAGCTGCCATGGTGATAGAACAGGCTTAGTGTTTTAGTAACATTAATAAAGGCAAACATTTTCCTAAAACACTAACAAAATAAAAATTAAACTAATGAGTTATAATTTGCCTAAAAATAAATAGAAAAATAACAGTAATGGAGAAACACCTAATTGGAAGCTCTTACTAATTTACTTTTATTTATGCTGTTCCTCAGGGGAACTGTGGGGAATTTGCTCTAAAAGGCAACCATAAGAGACCTCTCACTGCTACCATGAACCAAGGACTTTTTTTAGACAGACTGAAAAATTTACCGAGGCTTTTCCCCTAAAGCAAAAGAAAACCAAAAGTAGACCTTGCAGTTAAACAAAGGAGAAAGAATAATTCTGCTTTGATATTTGATCTAAGAGTATGTCAAGATAAAAAAAATAAATAAAAGAGAGAAAGAGAAAGACAGTAATGTTCTCCTAAAGGGAATGAAGTTGAACAGAAAGATGCTTGCTTGTATGCCAGCTTAGAGCTAGGATGACATATCGGCAGAACAGCTGATGACTGGTGTTTCCATTAGCTATTGAACACCTTGGCAATAGTTACCTCACTCAGAGAATGTGATACTTACTCTTGTACAGCTCTGGCTATAGAGAGAGCCGTAGATCCAGTTTCATTAACGCTATCTAAGGTCACATTTGGCAGGTCATCATCATCACTGTCACTTTTAATGTGTCCGGGAGATAGGCCTCGGGGGTCCATTTGTGCTGAAAGAGAGACATGTAATGGATTAATACGGTTGTGATGAAATTAATCTTGTCCCAGAACAACATTAGGGTGTACAATACTTCCATCTACTTATACTGTATGGCACCATTCCCCTTTAGCTTACAAAACAGATGATGAATATGGAATCATGTGGTGATGCAACTTAAGTTTATTGCAGTTACATACGAATGCTTTTGATTAAACTCAGATATGTACATACATGCATACTATAAATATGCCTTCTCCAAACTGACAGATAACTGACCAGAAACAAAACTGCATAACCTCTGAACATACATGCTACCTTCAAGCCATCTATTTTGGCTCTGTTTCCTGGAGTTTGCTTTGTACAATTTTTGCATGCTGGAGGGGTAGGTTCAAATTCCTGCTCCACACTATGTGACCTGTGTGACCCTGTACCTCAGTTTCTCAATTTTAAAATAGGTATAACAATATAGGGGATATGAGTTCAACATCTGCCTGCAAGAAAAATGATTATAGTTCTGTTTTTAAGTTGTCATATCAATTCTCATTAATGATCTTACTTAAAATACATTTAGTTGGCTAATGTAATAAATTAGGCACTAATCTACGAGGGTGGAGATAAATTTTCCTAAAAGTGGGATGAAAGGTTGAGATGCCTTCCATCATATGTAGGGCTCCATAATGGGGCTATCAGTGGAGAAAGTGCCCTGTGGCAAAGGGGAGGGTCACTGCTCTACTGTAGTGCATAGAACCAATTGGTGGCCCCAAATAAATGGTAACCTAAGCAATTGCTTTCTCTACACTCCTTATATCAATGCCCCTGATAATCTATCAAATATTACAAAGGCAGGTGCACTTACTGATATAAGTTTTATAATATTATTTCTTCTGGGACATATTGTACAATTTAGTGGCCAACTTTTTCACTTACTGATTTGTGGTGGTACCAGAAGTCATTACGTGTGGAAAGAAAAATAGTCAAAAAGTCAATGAAGGATTGTTGACTGTTTAGAAATAAAAGCCATTACACTAGAATCACAAGGAGACATATCAACTGCATTTACATCTTTGGAAAGTTATAAAAAAATGTTTCTTTGTTCCAGTTATTGTAAGCCTCAAGTTCTAGTTATACTTTTTCTAATCACATGGCATACACTATAGTATGCATTTTGTATTTAGACTCCATTGATAATCTAGCAACATGATTTAAAAGTATTTGAATACTCATAGCATCTGATTCTACTACAGAGAAAACCACTTGAAAAGAAATGTGATATTTGAGAATTCTTGATCCCCAAATGGTTATAAACTGTTAGAAGCAACTGTATAATATGAAATAATTACTGTCAATTTTCTATTTCACTATAGTTACTGATTTTTAAAAGTGAAACTTGTCACACTAGTTTATTTGGGAACAAGTAGTTTACATGTTAAATGAGATGCTATGAAAATTATTATGTGCAAATGAGTTTTAAACTATAGAAGAGACAACATACTTTACATGGTTTTATAGCTAGAAACAACTAAGTGTTGCTCCCGCTGATGTGAAATAACATTTGAGATCGCCAGGTCTTCTGAGTTTTGAATAAGTCTCAAGCGTAGCTTGGGAAAGAAATGTAGTAGCTGATTATATACCTTCTTATTATACATTAATTTTTCAACTTTTCACCATACTCATTTTTAATAGAGAGCTGGGCTAAATTAATATGAAACCTGCTGTCCAATACGTAACAGGTCATTTACTGTTTTTATTGCAAGTCTTGAAACACCTAAGGTGTGCCTACATGAAACGTTTTACTGTCTCATTGTGTACACATGCATGGCAATTAGGGAGCAGTAGACTAATTTACTGCGCTGCCAGATAGACCTATCAGTGGCATCTGGCAGCACAATAAATTACTGCACTTAAACACAGTTGTAGATAGTGACATCAGGATTAGTTGACCCTGGCTTTAATTGAGCCAGAGTATATTCAGTTGCATTAATTGCACATTTGGACATGCCTCTAGTATTCTTCTTACAGCCCAACACCCTGAGTCATACAATGAGGTGAAATATCTCTATTTCATTTGAAATAGTAAGCTTCTAACCCAAATGGTTGCAAGGAAATGTTTGAAAATATGACACAAGTGTGTCCTAATTGGATTGATGCTGAACAAAACAGAATCCACAGACTAACACTGAGGGGTCTGCCAGTCCCCTCAACCCTCCCTAACGTTCTTCTTAATTTCCCTTTTCAATGGCCTGTGCTCTTTTCTCTACCTCCAGTTCACCTTAGGGCTACTTGTAGCCCTCATCCCTTAACTGATTTCTTCTTCTGTTGGGCATCTTTACACATGCTCTGGGGTGGAGGAGGGGAGTAGAGGGTGCTTTAATTAGAGTGGCTTCAAGCTTTAGTTAAAGCACCCCAACCACCATTTTGAAGCATGGGGACACTGAATACACATGATATGGAGGCTGCTGGAGGCTGCTCCAATGAGTGCTAATCGAGTCTGCTCCAACTGTACCCGAATCATTGCTCATCTGTTTCCTACCTCTGACACCAAGCAAAAGAATTGAATCTTGCAGCTTGTGCAGTGTAGCCAGCTGTAAGCAGCTGATCACTGTTGAGGTTTCAGACAATCAGCTGCCCATATGGTTCGTCTGAGGAAGTAGGCTAGCTTTAGATACTGCTTTCCTTCACAGCAGCCATAGCTGCCCTGATAAATAATCCAGCTGCACCAGATGGATGAGGGAGAGTTCAGCCTGATGGGCCAAATCTCATCTCTGTTGCCAGCCACTTTGCCACTAGCCTGTGTAATAGAGCAGATAGCCAGCACATGTATAGGTACCCTTTGTGGCCACTTGCCTCTTCCTGGACTCATGCATAGCTCCTCGGATGGCTTTTACAGGTTTTGGGGAGGAGGCTGGTTTTATAAATTCTTTAAATTTTTCTTCTCCCATAGCCTGTTACAAACTAGTGTAATGGGTGAAAGACCACAGTATGGTACTTTGCAGGCAGGACTGTTATTCTTTCCATTAGTTCTATTACAGGAAATAAACAGATAAGCAAGAATTTGGGTATAGTGGCACCAGTTCCTGCAAGTTTGAAATGCCATAACATGATACAATTTTAGGGGCCTGATTCTAGAACTGACTGCCTGGCTATGATGCACTACAAGACTAGGGTTTTTTTGTATGGTGTCTTCATTATATGTGATTTTTCTCTATAAATAAATCCTTTATAGAATTAAAAATACCAAACAAAATGTTCAAAACCAGGTGGCCTACAGTAAGTTTTCAAATTCTCTGCTGGATTCCTAATTAAAAGTAGCTTGATTTTCAGTTTCTGCGTGCTCATATCTCCTTGCTGAAAGCAGCAGCTTTGACTTTCATTTACAACATTTAAATACAGATTTAGGAGCTGTTGGCACCAAGGTTTATATATGCTAGTGACAGTTATTAAATGAGAATGAATAGGTTGCTATTGGCATATTAAACAATGGAGAGTGAGAGAGAATTAAGAGACTTAGGCTAGACAGAAAAGATAGGATAGAAGATGGGATATGAAAAAAAAATGGAGAGCCAGTGACAGAATTTGCAAACAATGTGCAGGCGCTCCCACACAGCTGTCCCTTGCCATCTATGCCAGCCTTTCTCTGGGCATAGGAACATAGGACTGGAGGGAACCTCCTGGATCTTTAAGTCCAGGCCCCTGCTGTCGCAAACAACCACATCTCCTATTCATGTACATCTCAAACTCTATCTTAGAACTCTTAACTAAGCTACAGTTTCAGTTTTGCTAAGTGTGAATGAGGTTGGTGTTAGGCAAATGGAGGCTAAATAAAGACAGTCAAAAAGCCCAAGGCTGAATCAATTCAATCTTTGCAGTTTACTCTAAGTTGCATACATTGAACTGATAAGCAAGTGAACAGACATTCACTTTTGATTCTGGAAATGCTGCCACATGCCTGCAGTGGCTCAGAGCAGAAGCCAAGGAATGCTAGAGCATGCCTCTCTGCTCAACTGAAGCAGACAGCTTGGGCCAAGGCTAGCCTGCCCATCCTGCAAGGGGAGGTTTGTTGGGGAGGTGCCACCTGGGATAGTGCAGGACTGTAAGTTAATTTGGATCTGGAGGGGATCTGGGACAGAAGTTCAATACACAGATTTAATCTAAATCAGTTAAGTCTGATACTACATCCATCCAGGTTTATCTTAAACCAGTTTCAGTCATTTTGAAAGCAGTTTACGTGCACTGAAACTCCTGTTGTGTTACAGATTTGAACTGGCTTCTGATCACTTATACCAATTATGTGTAATTACTGTCCCAAGCTGGAGAGAAAGGAGTTGGGAATATTTTGTTAAGGGACAAAGTGCAGGAAAGGAAAAGCCCACAGACAGTTAAAAAATAAACATTCTGTATCTAGACTGAAAAGGCTGGGGAGACAGTGAAATTATTTAAGGATGATTGGGAGTCCAGAGACCTGTGCAGGCCATAAAGCACCACGTCTTTATGAACCTTAAGAGTAAATGCTCTTTCTGTTGACTCAGTATAAAACAGCACTCCCCACTGTCACACATAGTCAGTAGGGACCGATCATTGCATGGTGCCTTTTTAACCAGAATAAGTGAGGGAAATGTTTCCCCTCAGAAGGCAATCCTTCAAATGTACAAAAACTTACTGTAGTAAAAAGTTTTCTGCAGTGATTCCAGTAATTGAACTACTACTTCCGTAACCATCATGGGCACATATTTTGAACTTTTATTAAGAATACTAAAATAATTGAACTCCAATACAGTTGCACAGTAAATATATATAAAAAAAATTATTTGCAATGTGTTTGCTGTTAGTAAAACATCAGCTATTCATGTTACATTTCCATAATCACTGCTATCAATGCTTTCCCTATATGAACGAAAGACTGAATCTATGAAAATTTTCATCATCTGATAGTTGCTGAAGTTTTAGAAAAGTTCTGTTGTGCTAAAACAGATCTGAACTATTTATATTAATACCAAATCTTACGTTTAAGTT